ATGATAAAAATTATTGTTTAAGGTAAAAATTCTGTTCTAGAGGAGTTCCTATAATGAGCATTCCTCTATCTATAGATATAAAAGTAAAATCCTGTCCGGTTGGTTGTAAACGTGGGTGAAAACCCCTATCACAGATAATAATATTGTAACAACGTATTTATTAATTTTATTATTTTTATTAACAGAGTGGTCATTTTTATGTTTATATTTTGCTACTCTGTAAATTTACCTCGTGGTTTATCTTTTGTTTACCATTCATAGTTTGTCCTTGCCTGAAATAAAATTGTTATCTCCTCCTGAAGTTTTTGTCTTCCCTAATTTTCCACTTGGCAATATTTATTATTATGATAATTATATAACAATTATTTTTTAAAATGTGTTTCTTTTTACACAAATCGTTAAAATATTAGCTCTACAGGTCTGGATGCTATATTTTATGGCGAACTAAATAACTTAGTCCCTATTTCTGCTCCGCGCTTATGGAATTGAAGACTTGAGGCGATGGCGTCGACCTTTCATATTAAATCTTACTTTTCCTTATTACTAATAATTGTATATAGTTGCGGAACTACTGGTTTCCTGTGCTGCTCTTTTCCTGTTATTGCACCTTGTACGGAGAATCTGTATAAGACTAACGTCTTAATAAAGGCTCTGTGTGTATTATCTCTACAGACTTTACTGTAATCATAAAAGTTATTGAATGAGAGGGCTTGGCTCATCAGTAGTAAGCCCTCTCAGCGGGTTTCTCCAAATTAATATCCAGACCGCTCTAATATTGTATTGGATTGTTTTTCTTATATACCCTGCATTTACTAAGGACGGCAGCTTAGGAATGTTTTGGGAACCTATAGTAAATTCAGGATATATAAGAAAACCAATCCAATACAATAGTAGAGCAATCTGGAGATTAATTTGGCGAAACCGCTGAGAGGATTCACCACTGATGGGCCAAGACCTCTCATTCAAAAACTTTTATCATTGCATTAAGGTCTGTCTAGATAATATTTCATGATTTATGTAAAAATAAATACATTGCCAAAAATAATTGTGTTACAAATTTTATTAAAAGATGGCGCACACACAATCGAACTTTTAAATAATGAAAATTTTAAAGGTTCAATTAGCCAATTTGATTTTGAAAAAAAAAAAAGGTGTTTACTCTATATAAACTTGGGGAAAACCCTGGTCACCAATGCGTTTATTTTATACATAATAGAATTTATTCAGTGAGACGTGCAATAGTACTTCGGCAATAAAAGAAAATATTTGTTTTCAAGATGAAACTAGAGTTTATGGTCAAAGAGAATCATCTTGAACATGAGTGCTGGTCTGCCGAAATTTATGTATATCATTGCAATATATATGACTTAATCTATTCTCGTGTAGTTTTTATGATGTCCGAAGCTAACGATAAGTTACACCTTCTACTGCTGATTAGTCGGTGGCCAAGTGCTGTAAAGCAGAAAATGAACCATTAAAGAGCATAGGGAACAACGTTTTTCATGTTTATAAATTATACAAAATCGCTATATAAATTCGCTCTGAAACTAAGTGTCGCCATTAAAGATAAAAAAGAAAACTCAATGTGAGAGATATTTGTGATTTTTAAAAGAAAGTACACATTGCTATTATGAGAGAGAGAGACCCTAAGTAAAGTAGTTTAGGCTAAAATACAACATATATTTGTGGGAGAATGATATTCATGCACTTTTGTATAGGCACCTCTTTCTTCAAATATGCATTAGACTAAGCTGTGGCTCACTCCTTTATTACAGCTAGCATTTTTTTTACTAGGGTGACAGAATTAATGCATTGTTCTAGTTCATAATTAAAAGAAAAAGGTGCTTATTTTGGTACATGAATATAATCCTCTCGTAACTTTATGTTGTAATATTTATTTAAGTAACCCAGGTTCCTGGAGCGTACAGAAGTCGCCAATTACCCGGGATGTCCTTCTGAACTAAGTCTTCTTTGATTTATATACAATGCCAGTGGAAGTCCAATTAATGAGGTGTCGCCAGGCAGATTTCTTTCTTGGGAGATTTTCTAGGGATGCTGGACCTTTATGTTGTATTCTAGCCCAGGGATCGGCAAACTGCGGCTAGCGAGTCACCTGTGGCTCTTCATATAGTTCCATATGCCAATATTATTCATGCGAGTACTGTTTATTGTTGGGGGGGGGGGGGGGGGGGGAGAAGTCCGACCACACCTCCCTGCGGTCCCCGCTGGACCCTTGGAATATTCGACCAAATTCTGGTTCGTTTCCAAGGTGACAAACGTGGCAACGGCACCCATTTTCCAATGAAGAGCAAGATAGTGGATATTGCTGCTGCTGTGATGGAGATGCATGGAGACATCTAAGACTCTTCTTTGGACACAACAACAACAACTGTTTATTGTTGACAAGAAAACATTTTTTGGTTCTTGACTCTTCCGACCCAAAGGTTTGCCGGCCCCTGCCACATCACCAGTTTAAACACTTATTTATTAAAGTCGACCGAAGCCGTTCCTATGAACGGATGAGACCTTAGCCTGAAGCCATGGTATTCAGGTTGACTTTTTGTCTGAATTTGTCAAAACTGGCGTTTTAGGTCATTCCTTATCACCACTAGTTAAATATTTTTATTGTGATGATAAACATGATGAATTGTTCTATGCAGAATGAAAGGAAGAGGTTCCTCTTTTAGTACATGAATATCATCCTCCCTCAACTTTATATTATTTTATACTAGACGGGTGACCCGGGCTTCGCTCCGGGATTGACCCGTGTGCATATCTACCCGAGTGATATATATTTAGATAAATTTTTTTTATATAATTGTTTTTATTAGCATTATCTATTTGTTTGCATCAGCATTATTTAATCTAATCTTTGATAGAGGGCGCTGTTCGTGAGCTAAGTAGAATAATTTGAATATATAGTTTTAATAATTGATTTATATATTTTTAAAAATAGCCTATCGTCTTCCCCGTTATTTTTTACCTATGTATGGAAATTTTGGTTTGAATTAGTGAACTACTGCGAATTTGTATACCGGACATACAAACAAACAAACATACAAACATTGATTTATATAAATATAGATGTGAAAAAATAATAAAAAAAGGTCAGGTGTTGATATTGAAATTTAAAAAGACATATCCTGACCGTGCTCACATGAGCATTTCTAGGTGGCAGAGCGCCATCTAGTGGAACAAAAATTAACTAAACGTTTATTTATTAACTTGTTCTGTGATATTTGGCCAACCCAATTTCTTGTGATAAATCAAGAAAAATTAACCACGAATGCGTTTCGAGCTGTTGGCCCTCGTTAGCGTGGTGCAGACTCTACCTCTACGACCAAAATTTGGTCCCAGAGGCTTCCTAAGAAATCAAGAAATGGGTAGTTAAGGCCAAGTTTGCGTAAATACGCTTTTCATGTGAAAAATAGTAAATAAATAAATATATATGTCATAATATATACTCTACCAGGAATAATAAAGCAAACCTAGAGCCAGCCCAGAGAGAGACGGGATGTAAAGTCCGGTCACTTGAGACAGCAGCGACATTCCAAGGGGCGGCAAATGGGGCCCGTCCGTCGACACCTTGGGACTTTTAAGACAGTTGGGGAATTGTGGGCGACAAGAACGAACGGCCGGCCGCTCAGCGGTTGCAGGCCCGGCTGTCCCCCCTCTCTCTCTCTCTGGTTGCCTGGGTTCCTTCCCTTCCAACTTGTGGTGTGATTATTTCTCTTTCCCCACCTTATTATTTTATTGTCACATAAATATATATCATATATTATATCTATATATATAAAAATGAATGTTTGTATGTTTGTCTGTTTGTTGGTTTGTATGTCCGGTATACAAATTCGCAGTAGTACACTAATTCAAACCAAAATTTCCATACATAGGTAAAAAAATAACGGGGATGACGATAGGCTATTTTAAAATATATATAAATCATTTATTATAACTATATATTCAAATTAGTCTACTTAGCTCACGAGCAGCGCCCTCTAGAACACTCAGGCGTCCTGCCGGCGGCGCGCGCCCGTTGGCTGCCGGCGAGCACGTGACTTCCCTGTGCGCGCGAATGGCGGGCGGTCGCGTGGGCCCTCGCCGACAGCCATGCGCGCGCACAGGGAAGTCACGTGCTCGCCGGCAGCCAACGGGCGCGCGCCGCCGGCAGGTATATATTTTCATTTTTTGCTATTACTGATCTAATTCAGCGTTTAAAATAACTGCTCTTGCTATATTTGCTATGTTTTATTTTGCTATGTTTTATGTGTTTGAATAATACATTTAATCGTGTAAACCCGGGGGTTGCCCGGGTCATTCGTCTAGTATGTTATAAAAACAAATGAGATTTGATTTTCTGCTTGATTTTTGATCATGTTGAGGATTATACTATGTTAATGCAGTCGTGGTTAAAATATTTAAAGAATAATAATAATAATTTTGATCAGTAATTTAATTGAACTAAAGGAATATATAAAAGAACATATTTTGATAAAAGTAATGCCTGGCTTAAGGCGAGTAGAATAAGGAAAACAAAAGATTATTTACATAATGTACAAAAGTTTTGAGCCAGCCATCGGGGAAGAGAAAATATCTTTATTTTACGGGGCTGCTAACCAAAATGAATGATTTTTGAGCCCCGAATCGTCGGGGAAAGAGAGAAAATATCTTTATTTTACGGGGCTGCTAACCAAAATGAATGATTTTTGAGCCCGACCAACCAACGGGGAAGAGAAAATATCTTTATTTTACGGGGCTGCTAACCAAAATGAAAACCAACGGGGAAGAGAAAATATGGTTTTACGAGCTACTAATCAAAAGTTATGATTTTTGAGCCCAAGCGCGATGTCAGGTGGCAAGGGATCCTAGGATCTGGCGGCAGGAGATGTGTCGCAGGGGTGGTGGAAACGTTGGGCAAGCAGGGGAACAGCGCCAGGGTGCAGTGATGCAGGAGCATTGAATTGGCCAGGAATCCAGTAGAAGTGGCAGATGGAATTGGATGCAGAAGGTCCTTGAAGCCTAGAACCCGGGCCGCCCGCGTGGCAAGCGAGCATTCTACCACTGAACCAACGATGCTTATAAAAAATGGCCATATTTGGGTATTCATTCCATTCCGGATTACTCCGCGTAAAAAAAAAGTTCTTAAATGAAAAAAAAAAAAAATAGCCAAAAATACTAATCAAAATGTAGCCGAAAATTTTCTTCAGGTTTATAAAAAGCGACATGCAAAATTTGGTACCAATTGGTTCAGTAGTTTTTGAGTTTATCGCGAAACAGACAGACATTGACTTTTATATATATAGAGATATAGAATAGCAAATAAATACTTGAAGCAATGTTTTCCGTATAATACATTTGAGTCTTTTGATATAAAAATCCTTTGCTGGTTGGGAGTTTATTTTTTAAAAATAATATAGAACTCATTGCAATTATCCTAATTGATGTGCTTAAACTTTTTCGACTGTTTTAAGAAGCTTTAGTTTAAAATTTTAAAAAATAATATAGATTCGCACACACCAGCTGTTCTTGAGAAATATTTACCGGCAATCCGACGACTCACCTTCCTCAGGGAACAATATATATTTATTTTATAACAACTAATTTACTAGTGGAAGACTCCACAATTGACTCACGGGTAGAAATGCTTACAAGTGAAGTCCAACCGGCAATGTCAAGGGCGGGGAAGATGACTAGGAAAAGTTTTACATAGCTAAGAAAAGTCTCAAAGCTGCTACCAAATAACTCCACAAGACCTAACACGAGAATCCCTGGTAAATCCATGTATAGTAACTTCCTTTGCCTCCAATTTGCCCAGATTATTCTATTAGCTTGATTGTCTTTATATAACTTTCCCTGTATATGAATATCATGTTAACATTAAGTTCTATCACTGTTTTTCCTGCATGTATCCTATATTTCTGCTTGGAGAGAATCTGTATAAGACTAAAAGGTCTTAATAAAGCTTTTGTTGTTGTTGTTGTATTTTATAACGCCCTCACGCTAAAAATAGGACAAATTTTAGATTTAAAAAAAAAATAAAAATTATATGAGTCCCACGCCTTTCTATTAT